TGTGTGTGTGTGTGTGTGTGTGTGTGTGTGTGTGTGTGTGTGTGTGTGTGTACTCTAGTGAGCTTAGTGCTCAACTGATACCGGATTTGGGGAATTTATTTGGTTTAAAACGATCTTTCTACGCTCGAGGGACATCATTTGGTACACTTGTAAAATTTCCTGATGATCCAATACCAAAGTGGGATCCCAAATCATCGATTTTTCACAGAGCTCAGTGGGGTCTACAAATTCAGATTTTTTTTTTGCCTCGTTTTTTACAATGTGAGAATCCACCACGTGCCGAGGAAAGAAAATCTTCACACGTCACAAATATGTCATGGGGAGTCCCCTTGCCGAAAACGAGAGGTCTGGCGTCGGAGCAAGCGGGACTTTGGAGAGGCCGCGTGTATTTGCGCGCCTGTTGCGCGTTGGCCCGCCCCCGCTTGGAACTGCGCCCGGCTTCAAAGCGTCGTTCACGGGCGCCGTAAAACTGCGAGCGCAAGCAGAGGATTTGAGGGACCAAAATTTAAAGAAGCAAAAGCGGCAACTTAATTCAAATCGGCGGTGCGGATGAAGTTTTTGAAAGTGTGTTTGATCCAAAAGGAGGAAAACTGCAAACCTCTGTGAGTGGCATCTCACACTGAAAGCAAAAAAAGCAAAGCTTGAATTGATTTTTCCCAAGTGAGTGGTGGTTCTTGTCCATCCCTTCCTCGGGTGGCTCCTGATCTCCTTAACAGTCTCCAACGCGGGTCTTAAACCGGACACTGATTTGAAACTGGACCGGCTAATTGGCGCCCTTGTCCAATCCAGCTTCTCTCATCTGAGGCAGCTGCGCCCTCGCCGCCCGTCTTTCCAACTCTTTTTCCTTCTTTGGCTTTTGACTCGGCCTGAGAGTTGATTTTTAGTTGGACTTTGTTTGCGCTTTCTGCTGTCGTTGTTTTTCATCTGTTGTCGGAATTCTTTTCGCTCCGCGTCCAGCACTTTGTGGACAGCGGTGGTTGTTTGAATGTGCTCGAGAAATCCACTCGAGTTGAGTCGAGTTTGACCATCAAAGGGTTTTGCTGTCTGCGTTCTTCCCTCGGAACGTTGTTTATCTGCATGAAACACAAAGGCGCATGGAAACGCTCACGTTGTTCTCCAAGGGGCACTCCTGTTGTTTTGATTGTCGGTTTTTATTCGAAATGGATTCGGGTTCCTTTCGCCGCCACCGCGCAAGTGATGTCGTTCTGACACGATTCATGCACTGAGGAAAAAAATAAATAAAATCACACGGCCGAAAAACGAAAGAGAGCGAGAATCGCGACAGTCCTTCTTGCCCAACTTTGTCAACGTGGTGCCTTCATCTTGGAGTGAATCATTCACGAATGCATCATTTCTCCTACGCATTGACGTACATACGAAACGCAACAAAAGAGATGAAAACAAATCAAGGATACGTGATGCATTTTGACCACAGTTAAAAACAGTTCCCAGTTGTCTTGACGACACGTGACAAATTTTCAGAACCGGGCGACGGAAGGATTTGCCTTCCCGTCCGTTGATCCGTGTTGTGGTTGTAGTCGGCGGCTTCCCTGGGAAACGCCGAACGGGGTCTCAAGCGGCACCTGGAGCGTCTGGACGAGATCTTCGCGCCACGGCCCGACTACCTTCAGGCTCTGCGCTTCATGCGGCTGATGGCCGACAACGTCATCCGGGAGCTGGCGGCCGTGCCCGACTTCGGCGAAGCCAACGTCAACCTGACCGCCGTCGCCACGCGCGCGGCCTTCGTCGAGTATTACAGGTGCGTGCCTTATTTTTCTTTCCTTCATATTTCCTTCTTACTTGATTGCAGACGATGAAGCGGCGCGCGCGTCTGCCGCTTGCCCGAATGCCGCTCCCCTACATTGAGTGCAATTCTTATTTGACTTGAACGGCAAAGGGGAAAATAACTGATGGCGGCAAACTATTTTCAATAACCTCAAAGCCAATCAAGTGCAAATGAGTACAAATGAAGGTAAGTTTCAATAGTAATTTGGGGAAGGGGATATATGAGATTTTTTTGGAGGCTTCGTGGTGCTATCCAGAGGCTTTTTTTTTTTTTTGTAAGCCGAGGAATTGATGACTGCACTCTCTACATACGCCTCATTGCAGCGATTGCATCAATGATGGTTACTTCTGCCTCCCTGCCAATCGCACGGCACATAAACTGCAGAGAAGCATTCGGCGTAAAGGCTTTTGAGATGACAGGCACTTCAAAAAGCCGCCCGAAAAAGCATCTCATGCACCCTTAGCTGCTCCGACGTGCTAGCTTTAAGAATTGTGTGTTTTGCGAGTCATTCAATTCACATTTCCCGCCGATCAATTGGATTTGTTGCGCTCCGTGTGCAGTTTTCTAATGGCGCCTCATTCAGATTTCATGCGGCCACGCGGCGCCATTCATTTGGCTCACGTGTCCACGCCGGCCCAAGAATGGACGGCGGGCTTTCGTGCGGCCGGCTGAGTGACGAGCCAGCCCCCTGGCCGCGCTTTATTGACGAGTGACCGGCGTTCCGGCCGCCGCGCCGTTTGTTGCTTCACTCCCCCCTCCTTTTTTTATGGCCCCTTTTGTGTTGCTCAAGTCATCGCCGCAGCCCGTGCCGTGAGACTGCTAAGTGGCCTTTATGCAGACGAAGTCTATCCATTGAGTTCTTTTCCATTTCGCGAGGCCTGCGATGCTGCCGCGTACTCTCCGGTGACCTTAATGTGAAGATTTACTACAATGGACACGCTGCAGCGAGTGTGTGTCGACTCTGTATTTTGTAAATTGGTAGGAATCGAGGCAGAGAGAGAGAGAGAGAGATGTTATTTTATTTCTTTATTTTTGCTCTCGTTAGATTCACGAGTTGGTTGGAGGACAAGTGCACCCGCCCGCGCAGGGACTTGCGGTTCGGGACATTTTCGGAGCTTGAAAATGGAATGCCTATGAATTGGTGCTGTTGAATTATTGAGCCCAAAGGCCGCAAATGACAGCAGCAAAGCAGATGGGGCGATAGCGAGCAGGCGAGAAATCCGATGGATCCGACGCCCATCTCGGATGCGTTGCTGAAAAACTGCGCCTTTGAGCCTGCGGACTTGAGTGGCGCCGAGAAGTGACGAGCGTTTGGTGTCTCGTAGGTGGCTGAGCTACCTGCTCCTGCTGATCCTGGATCTGCTCATCTGTCTGGCCGTGGGCCTGGGGATGGCCAAGCGGGCTCGCCGGCTGCTCATCATGTAAGTCGCAGGATCATAGTCGATGGATTTCAATCATTTCACATCTTTCTAATGAATAAGAAAAACATCAAGAGCGGTCATGGTATTGTTCTTTTAGATTATTTCTATTTGTATTTACTTTTCATTTTAACTTGAATTTCAGGACATTTCTCCGATGTAATTCAACAGTATTCTTTTTTTTTTTGTAAAATAAGTTTCGTTTTCGCATCTACGATCTTCTTCTGCGTTGCCATTTAAAGCCTTTGCAATCCAGCGAGAAACGGCCAACCACCTTCAGCCAATCTATACCTTAAAAAAAAAAGAAAACCACTCATTGTGGTCTAAAACGCTGCTCCATACATGACGGCATCTTCCACCAATCGCCGGGTACCATGCAAAGTTGCCCCTTGGGAGCACTTTGACATCTTTTCACCGTTTGTTTTCTGGGGAGCGCAATATTCGGGCACACGCAAAGCGTATTCGATGGCGTTTTGCCGGTGGAGCTCACTTGTGCATTCGGACGATGCTTCAAGCAAAACAGCGTGACAGGGATGATGGATTAGCGGGCCCACGGTCCAGACTTTATATTTGGCCAATGTAGCGCTGCCCACGCTTCGGTCGCCAACAGATGAGACGCCGTTTCCTGCTCCTCCTCCCACGCTGACGGTGCTGGCTAATGCCTATTGATCGGCCCCGCGCCGGATGAGAGTGCGGCTCCTTTAACTAATTATTAAGTGCTGCTCTCTCAGACTTCTTTATTGCTGCTTTTTCGCGGAGGTCTGACGAGTCAGTTGAGTAGCCAAGCCTGCTGCTGCTGCTGCCGCCGCCGCCGCCATTATGGAGCCATTAGAAGGTCGGCTCACATGTCGGTAACGAGCTTGATGAACCACGCCCTGAAAATTCGGCCGGTGACAGTTAACACAACAGCCGTGACGTGCTTGGGAGCCCGTGTGGCGTCCGCAGCCTGCAGGGAGTGGCTTTGTCTCCGAGCCAATTTTGCATATTGGATTTTAGAAAGAAAAAAAAAAACATTTGTGGTGACACCAACACCCAATGGAAACGTTTCAAAAAAAGCGGGTCATTGGTGTGCTCCGTGCATCATTTCCTCCTTTGGAATCGGAATCCCTGTCACGGCGTGTGGCTGGCCTCCATCGATGAGCAAAGAGACGTGAGTTGTAGTGTTCAGGCAGGCCAGTGGATTGATGGGGGATCATTTCCCGTGGGACAACTGCTGCAGCATCCATTAGTTGTCCCGGCACAGCTTTCGCTTCATCTTGTTCTGGTTGCCAATGGAAGCGTTTGGGACAGCGGTCCTTTCAGCCCCGCTGTATTCGGTGAGCGCCAGCGACGAGAAATAAAGAAGGCGAGGTTTTGTCTTGTGGCGACTGGCAACTTTAACTCTCATGACGCATCAGAAAATATCGAGGCCGCTCTCTGGCAAAAAAGGGAGCCTGGCGGTGTGCAGTCACGAATGCGCACGTGGTCGCCTGTGCGACGGTACAAGAGAAAAACGTGCGAGAGAGCCCCAATGTCCGATTGATGCCATTCCTCACGGTCACGTCACAGCTCGTAATTGGCCCAAAACGAAGGTAGGGAGCGGTTCTGTCGTTGGTTTTGCACGTGTGCTTTATTGCCCCCCCCCCGCTCGCAATCACAAACATATATACGCAGGGTCGTTGAGAGCAAAAATCATTTGATGGGTCCCCACGCGGAAGTTTTTGTTCCAATCGAGTGGTGAGCAAGTGCAACTAAGGCATACGGTCATCCGGGTCCATAACTTGGCCGCCTTTGTGTGTCAATATTCTCCCCGCAGGATCATGGGCTTTGTGGTGCTGTCTGTCATCCTGAGCTGGGCCTCACTGGGAGCCAGCTTGGCTGCGGCTGTGGTGAGGTTTTGTTTTTTTGTTTTCCTTCATGTTTTTTGTCGTCCCTCTTCACTTACGTCGGTTCCTTTCCCTCGCTCAGTCACGTCGTAAAGCTGATTATGAACTCGGCAGCCTTTCGGCATAATCACAGTTGTAAACAACACTCCCCGCCGTTAATTATGCCTCCAAAATCGGCCTAGGTTGAGTGCTTTCGCTTCCCCATAAATCCTCCTCGTTGTCTTGTGCTGAGCGTACAGTCAGCGTTCACCGCATTTGGGCTTAATGTGGTCATGGACGCAGCGCATTTGGGGCACAGTCAGGGGTACAAAGAGCACCCCCGCTTTACTCCCGGTGTCCCCTCTCTTGCGTGAATCTCCCACGGAGTCTGCGGATTATCCCGGCGGATTAGACATCTGGACGGATGCGGCGAAGCGGCGAATTAAGCTCGGCGTCGCCACTGAACCTGAAACGTTGCCGAGACATCCGTCGTCTTTGCATGCGCACATTGCAGCAGCACTCGACAAACATTGTGGTGGACCTTATTTGTGCTGTTCCGCTCATTTTACTCGAGGCAAAAGTAACATTTTACACTAACGGACAGAACACGCGGAATAATTGTCCTCAGTCGGACAATCGGGTTTCGTAGTGCTTGAGCAAGTAATGTCGATGCGAACGTGGCTGTGATTGTCCTTACTGTGGCTGATCACCCCGTGGGATCCATTTCTGTGACCGGCATAAATCGGGCACGGCTCGTGGCATATCTCAACGCCGACGCAGGTTGCAGCCGATGTTGAGGCAGGGTTGCGTCACCGCCGACTTTAGTCGTGGTGAATCGACGCAGCACATTTCATTCCATTTAATTGCTAGACGTGCACTAGAGTAGCGATATGGCCCAAGTACATCTGTGTCGTGAAGTGGGCATTTGGGGACAGCGACCGCCCCCGCCCCTCATTGTTCGTGTGCCGTGATGTCTGCTAGCCAAAGGCTGAAGCGCACCGCATTTGTTCACGGAGTAAGAGGGGGCCCTAAAGTTGACCCCTGATGAACGCCACACGACAGTGAGCCAGCACGGGACTCAACAGCCAAGGCCAACACAAAATGATCTAAACCACTGCAAAGCACTACCACTAATGCCCACTGGATGCCTCAAACATATAAGGGGGGTGCTGCTGAGAATGAGGACAACGAGCATTGAATGTTCTATGTGCGAACTTGGTACGCCTCTGTTCCATACCAAAAAGTCAAAATATAAATACATGTACCATTATCTCCTCAGTCAGAATGTTTTATCCGAACAAAAGAAAAGTCACTGAAGTAGCTTATTGACTGTTGAAAAAAAAATGAAATGATGATGCTGTTGATCCTTCAAGTTTCCCCGAGACGCATGCATATTTCATGCTAACTGGCATCAACATCATCTAACGAGATGCAGATGAAGGCTAACACGCAGGACCCCGTGCTGCCATGACATTCATTTCACGTCGTCCGCCGTGGTCTCGGCTCAGACTCGTCTTGCGGATGCTAACCGGCGATGCATTGAAACGCAGGAACTGCGGGTTACCGGCTGCGTTTTGTGTCTCGTACTCGCTTTGTTCACGGGAGCACAAAGAGCAGCGTCGCCCTCGATCGCTCGTCTGTCTCTTGGCGAAGTGCCGTCAGTCGCTGTGCAATGAAATTCTGATAAGAGAGCATCTTTTTTTTCATGGAAAAGAGGGTAGATCACGCACGGTAGTAACTAGAACCATGTCGGCACTGATTATACCTGCCTGGAGCATTTTGGCAAGGAAGAGCGTAGCCTGAGTCAATGGGATTCTTGTTTGTAAAGAACAAATATCCCTCTCGGCCTTCAGCAGCTGCCCAAAATGTGCAAGAATGAAGATCGGTGACAAGCACAAACACCGAGCCCCATTTAAAATTGACTGCGAGGCGGTGTGTACGTGCACGGGTTTTCCTCTTTGTGACCCGACTTTTAAAAAAACGTTCTCGTCCATAAATACAAAGGAATCCAATGTAAAGCCACAAGCATGGCGAGAACTGAGCTAGCATTCCCCTGACCGCCTTTGCACGTGTTGATGTGTTGTCACCCACGCAGGCCACCAGTGACTTCTGCGTCTCTCCCGACAAGTTCATCGTCAACCAAACCACAGATTTCCTCAGTGCAGGTAATCCCTTGAATGAATGAGTGGCATTGCTCCTCGGGGCTAGCATCATGAAGCAAGTATGAGAAAATGATCCGGTTTTGTTCTTTTGAAGCGAAATGAACATATTTGTTTGATTCTCTAACCCGCTGAAAAATGGTGCGCTGTTTTTTTTGCCATCTTCATTATTCATTCCTGGTTTTCTACATGCTCGTCCTGAAACTGGGTTTTCTTCCTCACTCGGTAGATGTCACCCACTACTACTTGTTCTGCAGTCCGAATCTGGCCAACCCCTTCCAACAGGTACGGACTCCCATACGCAGCGCTCGAGTCGACAAAGATGAGCTTTGTCGGAACCTTGTCAAGCGCAGCGTGAGAATGTGCACCCTCACGCATCGAATTAGCTCAAGCTACCATATTTTTATCTTTAACCCCCCCCCCCCCCTCCCTCCCACCCCATTGCTTCATATCCGCCTGCGGGCATTCTCAAGAGCCACATGGATTATTCATTGGAGGCTTGCATAATGACGGCTGCCGTACACAACAACAACAACATGCTGTCATGAGGATGTTTGCTACACAGACGTACTCAAAAGGGGGCTTCGTCAATCACAACAGTTGACGTCCGCACATAGTTGGACTTTCCATCTCTCTTCCCAAATCTCAGCTGGATGTTCCGTGATGAATATCCCACGAAGCTGTATCTGCTAATGTCACTTTGATGAGCAGTTTTTTACTCGTTTTGGGTGCCTTCAAATCCCTGGCGGATAATGACAGGCAGGATTTAAGCCCACACGCTCAGGGTATCCATTTAGGGATTAAGGCAGACTTGTGAAGGGCTAAAGATAATCGAGTCTTCCGATCAACTCCATTGTTTGGGTGCCGCTGCGATGAGGAGGCGGAGCCGCGATGAAGCGCGTCATTTGGCTCCCCCTCAGGACAAAATTGTTTGCCGACACGGCGCTTCCCGATGAACATGTTCTTCTCTGGTGTCCGCAGTCGCTGACAATCTGCCAGCGCTCGCTGACCACCATGCAGATCCAAGTCCAGGGTTTGCTGCAGTTCTCCGTGCCCGTCTTTCCCACCGCTCAGGTAGGACGACGACAACAACAACAAGGCTTGTGTTTCGGGCCTCGGGACAAACGACCATTCGTAAAATCAGGCCCTCAAACTTGACTACCGTTATTTGCCACACTTTCCCCCCCTCCCCTTTTGTCTCACACAGCGAGACCTTTTAGGCATCCAGCGCCTGTTGAACACCAGCGAATTTCATCTGCACCAGCTGACGGCCTTGCTGGATTGTCACGGGCTGCACAAGGTGCCTTGTTTTTTTTTTCATTTTTGCCATGATTATTCCTTCCAAGGCGCTGCAAATTCCACCTCTCGATCTCACTTCTCAAAGCTGGGGCTCGCCGTCGCCAGCTGGCGCTCGGATTGGTTTTGATTGGTTGCCATGACAACTCAAATCTGTCACATTTGGTGGCGTTGATTGCTTAATGAATGTGGATTCCGAAACGAAGCGCCCCTCTCGTTCATGCCCGGAATAGCGTTGGCCCGGCGATGTGAACGCAGCCAAAGTCCAAATTCGCCCTGATTTGGATTTATTTTTACACGAAGCCCATTAAGACTGATTGCTTTTTTTTAGGGGGGGGGGGTCTTTTTTGGGAGATAAAGCCTCTCTTACATGTCATATCTGATGTTGGTCTTATCTCATATTCTGATTTATACTCAATGCTTCAAGTGACACATTTCATTTTTTTTCCCTCCTGAGTGGAACAAGAAATAGAAAAATCTGCATGGAATGGAATCATATATCAACAGATAAGAATCAGGCCTCTTCCAAATGCGCCTTAAAAATCCGACGCGCATCGTATATGAGCGCGCTGCACGCACGCGCAGCTCGGATGGAGCCCGTCGGTGGCAGCTTGGCGTCATGGAAAAGCAGCCATTGGTGAGAGGTCGCGCGCCTGCGTCTGCCCGAGACGAACGTGGACAAGCGCTACGGGAAATGGAGTCATTTCTCCACCGTCTATATTGGAACGCTCTCATCACAGGCAATGCATATTTTGGAGCGCTACATTTTTTACAACAGTAAAGCTGACGACATGAGCGCACACCTTCAAGCCCCCAAGCATCCAATTTCCGATCCGCTTTATCCTCACGAGGGTCTCGGGCAGTGGGCGGGTGCGCGAGTCGATATTTGGACTTAGAGAAGTATTCCCAAAAATGTTTGACCAAAACAGAAGCTTAGGCGGCGCGTGCGAACTGTGCACCGAAGCAAATGGCCGAATGATGCGCCATCACTTGTTGTGTCGAAGGCGTCTTCTGCGGCCTTCTATGTTTGCGTGGATGAGATTTGATTCGATTGATGGCGCAGGACTACCTGGACGCCCTCACGGGCGTGTGCTACGACGGCGTGGAAGGCCTCCTCTACCTGGCTTTGTTCTCCGTGCTGGCGGCGTGCGCGCTCTGCGCCACGCTGGGCGCAATTTTCCGAGCGTGGACGCAAATGGGCAGCAGGTCAGTGGTGCGGGGCGACCGACCGACGACCTTCCCCCGCCCCCGTTCCTCACCCCACCGCCGCCGCCCTCATCTCATCCCCTCGCCGTTCTACGCCAGCAAAGCGCTCCGTCTCTGCGCAGGGACAAAGAGTACGACGACATGGACGAGGAGGACCCGTTCAACCCCGGAGCGCGACGCCTGTCCTCCGACCCGAGGAGGTCCACCGTCCACAGTTTCTGCAGCTACACCAGCAGCGCCGGCAGCCAGGCCAGCGTCCACCCGCCTGCGCCTCAGGCGGCCAGCGGCGTGCCGCCCGCCCCGGAATACATGTGAGAGCAACATCTGACACCCAGATGGAGGCACGGTGCTCAAAAGTCGCGGGCGAGACAATACAATGCCATTTCTGACTTTGTGAATATCTTCCTCCCAGGAATCAGTCCATGCTGTTTGGCGGGAGCCCCCGATACGAGAACGTGCCGTTGATAGGCAGAGGATCCCCGCCGCCGTCGGTGCGTTGGCCCTACACTGCCCTGGTGTCCCAAGTGTGACCACCGCACCCCGCCCCCCACCCCCTCCTCACTTCTCTCTCTCTCTCTCTCTTTCACACACACACACACACACACACACACACACACAGAAAAATCAGCCACAGCAAAAAAAAAAATGAAGGCGCAAACGGTGTAAGACTGCCCTCTTGTGGTGTGTGACGGCGCTCGTCATTTTCCCCGTTGAATGAAATTTCTTCCGAATAAGACAAATGCATCAAATGTGTAAAACAACCTCCAAAGACCGCATTGGCGCCTCGCTCATCTGTAATAATATAAATGTTAATCCCGGAGCTGAGAGTCGATAAGTGAGTCATGTGTCCCCGCAGCGCCGGCTAAATAATAGATAACGCCTGTAAATCCACCCCTACCCGCCAACCACCTTTAAAAGGCGCTCTCTCTTTTAGAACGAAGCTTCTGTCGGATGGCGGGACCGCATTGGTGCATTCGCGGAATTTAAATGACTCGCAAAAGGCGAACAATGTGGGCCTCTGTTTAAAAATGTACACGCTCCGTCTGCGCGAGATCCATTTCAAGGCAGCGCATCCAAGAATAATGGGCCCGATCGGCCAGGATCAATGCGGCGGGCTGGGGGTGTCGCAAAATGCCATTTGCATCATTGCGTCCCGCCTTGCCTCGCCTCGGGGTCACAATGTTAGGGACCTTGCCTGCAAAAGCGCAATCCTGAGCAGATTGTTCCATGAACGGGTCATTCTCGTCTTTGTCAAGGCTGAACGCTTGATACAATTCCCAACGATCATAGAAATGATGTCGAAAACCTTTTTTTTTTTTAATGGTCGACCGGTTTGCATATCATGTCATGTTTGCACGCATTTCCTGTGATTTAACTCAAGTCTACGTTATTTCCTGTTTGGGTGGTTTGTTTGTTTCACATGTTGTTGTTTTTCTTTTTTCTTGCCCAAATATGTCTGAGCTCGCCCCCCCTTTCGCTTGTGTGTTGCTATGCCAAGCGCTTGCTTTTTGCCGGACACGCATGCTCCGCTAAACGCTTCAGCACGCGAGCAATGTGAGTATAGTCCGACCTCATCCAAAGTGTGTCCCGTCTGCTTTTTACCCCCCCCCCCCATATCCTTGCCCTGTCTTTTTAAATCTACAGCAGCTCCTTTGTTCTTCTTGTTTTTGCTCATTTGTGTTCACCTGGCTTCCTGCTTTGAACCGTTGTCGTTGTGCTCAGGACTTGGCAGGGGCGGAGTTTTGTGCTTTGAGTGAATCAGTAATATGCCGCATCAAATTGGCTCATTGAAACCCGGAGAAAGTTGTTGTTTTATTAATTCAAGAAATGTTCGCGTCATCCGCCCGTGTCGGGCGCATCTCATTGTCAACGTTTTTCTCCGCAGTACTCGCCCGCTATGAGGACGACTTACCTGTCCATGAGCGAAGCCCAGAGCCGACACTTTGGCACGGACTTTCAGGTGTAGCCGGCGCCGCCGCCAAACACACGGTGAGGAACTCTCTTCGTGCGTCCGTCCTGTTGACTGAGCCTGCGCTCTGCCGGCCATGTGAGGCGCCGACCTCGAGAGGACGCGCGCCCGCGCGCCGTATGTTGCCTTGGCTGCGTCGTAGGCAACTTGGCCCCCCCGTATTCATTGTTTTTGATTCTTGTTGTCCTGTATGACTGCATGACTTTGATTGACCGAGTGGTTAAATGTATCGCCTGAAATTTTTTTGCCTTAGAAGACCGAGCGGGCCTCGACATCAGCTTCACCCGCTCGTCTAACTTGATCCAGTACAAGAGCAAAAGTCAGTCATTGTGACAGTACAAGTTCCCTCAACATCACAATTTACTTTTAAAGTAATATACTGTAAATACTAAACGTTACATATAGAATAAAAACAATGACACATGGGCGTAATAATCAATTAGTCGATTCTCGCTAAGGATTTGGCCTGCTGTTTGGAAGTGAATTTTGAAAAGACATTTGAACCCACAATCCCCCCTAAAACGAGGCGGACGCATCATGCCGCCCGTAAACATAATCCAACGTTCAGAAGTGATACCGGATTAGAATTCTTTGCAGCCAGTGTGGTGAGAAATCCAACCAACGTCTTGAACATTCAGCGGAATTCTCCCATTCTTTTGGAGACAGCATTTGCATCGGATGATATCAGATTTTGTGCTGAAGAACACGCGACAATGAATTGTTGACGTGTCGAACTGTGCGATATTTCACTGGACTGAATAAAGCACGGCAGAGCCTGTCGGACGATCACTAAGTCGCGTTCCCTTGGCGACCTGCAAAGCACAATCACTTGATGACTTTTCAGATGTATGCAGAAATTGTCTGTTTCCTCATGAGATCTTGTCAAAAACGGTTGGCGGCCTTTTTATTGTATCCAAGTAAACTAATGTTTGTCACCCTTGTGTCATTTTTTGTGTCATTGATCGCCGGTGCTGATCCAGCCGCGCGTGTTCAAATGACTGGAAAGATGTGAACGCCGTACGGGGTTAGTTGGGGGCCTTAAGGATGGATTCATAAAACGCTCATTTGGAAGACCCTCACCGCGTCTACCACTCTCCGTTCCAGCAGTTTTGGAAAGCGCTCCCGTTCAGAAAGTCCTCGCCGCTTTTGGTTGATCTTTCGAGGTTCTGCCCCGAAAGACCGCTCCGCAACCAGTCATAAAGCTCACCTCATTCCTCTCAACTCATCATTTCAAAAGTTGGTGCAACTTTTTATTGACCCTGTGTTATGATACAATGACGAAATGAAAAGTACCAAGTACAGCTGCAACTGCGCGTCCCGTCTTGCACCCCGCGCCGTTCGGAACTACGAAATGTCGCAAGTCGAGAACAATTTGGTGCAAGTGAAGCTGATTTGGCTCACGGTTGCTGTCCAGGGTCCTGATATATGAAGTCTTGGTGCCAGGAACTTAAAAAAACCGAAATATTCTCTCTCTCTCTCTCTCCCTCTCTCTCTCTATATATATATGCATATATACAATATATAGAATATTGCTTTGTCATAAAACGAAGAGAAGATGTGATACTTTCAGAGGTTCCAACAGAAGTGCAAGCAGACGTTCCAAAGGCTGCCAGCAGAAGGTGGGCCGGCATGATGCTGTTGGCATGACGTTTTCAGACCAGATTTCTTCATTTGACTGACATGCTTCTTGAGTCTAATGGTAAGGAATTTTTAACCGAAAAAAACCTGCCATATATAGTAAGCCGTTTTTAGCCGAAAAAAAATGACCATGGATATAGTAAGGCGTTTTTAGCCGAAAAAACCGACCATGAATAGTAAGGCGTTTTTAGCCCAAAAAAAGACCTTGTATAGTAAGGCGTTTTAAGCCGAAAAAAACGACCATGTATAGTAAGGCGTTTTTTACCGAAAACGACCATGTATAGTAAGGCGTTTTTAGCTGAAAAAAACGACCATGTATAGTAAGGCGCTTTTAGCACGAAAAAAACGACCATGTATAGTAAGGCGTTTTTTACCGAAAAAAAACGACCATGTATAGTAAGGCGTTTTTAGCCGAAAAAAACGACCATGTATAGTAAGGCGTTTTTTGCAGAAAAAAAACGACCATAGTAAGGCGTTTTTAGC